TAACTGCTATTTCAATTATGATCACTTTTGGAGCTACATCTGTTTTTGTTCAGTGCTCTCTGTCATTGCATTAATGGCAAATACATTCCAAGAGATCTTTAGATTATTGTCTGATTTTCAAATGCCAGGAATGCTTTCCATGGAAGATGAGCAAATATCTTAAATAATTTTGACAGGAACAGCTCTCTTTGTGTGTAGGTTTTGTGTTTCTGCAAGTATTATAATATATTCGTTATCAAATCGTACCAAGACTGACACTCAATAATGTAACAAATTTCTTGTCGATAGGCTACCTCTATCAGTACATAATCTTCCTCACTATTACACTCCAATTCCAGATGCTCGATCTTTAAAATTACACATACTGCAAAAAGCAAAAATCAGATTAAAATCAAACCCAGCTGTTTCATTTTTCAGCAGCGACTGAGTTTATCCTGATGCTGTTCTTGTTATAGCACCTAAAGGCCTTAAGTTTTGGGGCTCCATTGTGCTATGTCATACGTGAAGGGAGCACAAAACTTATTGTATCCGTTATGCTTTTGTGGAATAATAGGGCTTGATCCTGGGAAGTGATGAGTGTTTTGGTTCCATATCTGTAGAGCACTAGAGCATATGCTAATTTTAAGCATGTGAGTAGTTCCAGCAGCAGAAATAATAACATCAATGGAAATAATCGCATATTTAATGTTACACAAGTGGTGTATGTGCCTTCCAGTGTCTGCTGCCACAGTGCTCAGCACTTTGCAGGAGTGGGGTTTCAGTGAACACGATAAAATCTTTTTTTGTGATATATTTCTCATGCTTTAGTCTCAGGATACTGTTTTGTTTAATTTCTAGTATTATGGGGTAATATGTCGCATCTCAGTGGGTTTGTGGTTTGAACTCTCTGTAATTGCAGCAAAGGCAATTTTCATTGTGGAGCCTGTTAGCCTGCACAGTCACATGTCAGCAAATATTATATTGCTAATTTTTATTGTATTTGTAATGTGTTATGTGTGGAATATCATATACATATACTATAGCAAGAATTCTCACAGAAATTTCGTCTCTGCTCCAAATAGGTGGCAATCTGAAGTATTGTGCAGTGTGTAGGTAAAGCAGTTTGGCTGGCTGGTCTATTTACCATGAAAAGATTTTGGTTTGCAGATACTTTTTGTTTGCAGCTGCTATTAATTACAGTTCTATTTTACATCTAATAAACAGTGTGAACAGGATTAATTTCAGATTTCAGAAATGTCAGCTCTTTTATGAATTTTACTTGTTTTCATCATATGTACAAGCAGTTAAAATACAATTTACAGAAACATACAGAATGTAGCAATGGTGATGTTCTAGTCTTGTTCTTTTACTTTTCAGCACCACCAAAGTTTCTTCAGCCATTTTTATCTGATAAGAACATGCCATCTGAACTAGAATACATGATAATTTCCTTTGATGAGCCTCACGTATATCTTCGTCAGTGGAGCGATGAGTCGATATTCCAAGAGATCCAGTTTTCAACCCAAACTGACTGTAAACTTTTGGAGTGCCGAAATGTGACTATGCAGAGTGTTGTGAAACCTTTCAAAATCTGGGGGCAGATTGCTATCTCCAGCAGCACAGTAGGAAAGCTGTTGGACTGCACGATAATGGTGGACCCCATTTTCATCAACTTTGGCCAATTCGCGCTTCATTCTCTAAATACAGCAATTCAAGCTTGGCAACAGGTATGCAAATACAATAAGGAGAAAAAAAAGTAGCTATTGTGATTCATATAATAGCAAATTAGAATACCAACTGGATTCATTAAAAATATTCTAAGATGTAAAAGCTAATTTACACAAAAAGTGTTTTTTATTAGTAAACATTAGTTTCATGATAGCAATGAAAATTAGGAGACAATGAATACTGTATGTAAAGGTAAATGTAGCCAGAACTGCTTGAGATTCAGTGAAACTCCATGGATTTACATCAGAATAATCAGAATCTTGGTCTTGAAAATCATAATGTTCCATTAATTTATGAAAAGGTGAGTGATGCATGATGTGTAAGCACAGCTCAGTCTGAGCAGTAGAGCATATTGTTTCCAGCTACTACTTCTATCCTTATTGAAGTTCAACACTAGTTTCACATTACATTCTGTGCAAGCAGCATTAATAGCTGAAGCGAGTCCCGGCGTAAGGAACCTTGCTTCTGCAATGACCCCTTGAAGGCCTGTAATTCCCTTACTCTACTATAGCCTTGAAATCAAATCATTCTCTTCATCTGCCTGAAGACCTATGTGGAGCCTGGGAATTAATTACCTATCATGGCACTACAATAACAAAGCCCCCAAAAAAGGATAAAACATCTGTTTTATATCAAAAAATTCTTTTTTAAGGGCATTCCATGGTTTTCTTGTTGCAAAAGGACATTCATAAAACAAGATCTAGTGTGATTTAAATCTTTACAGCTGGCTCAAATATCAATGTGAACAAAAATCTTTGTAGCTCCAATTTCTGTTTTTTGTCATTTTTGAACAATGCTTTTAATAAAAAACAAACATAGAAAGTATAAGAGAGTCTTATTTTGGGCTGTTTAAACCCAAAATATTTCTGACTTAGTACTAGTTCCTCATCTAAGACATGTGTGGCAACTACTGCAAAATGGCCTTCAGAAAGGTCAGTTTCCTCTTAGGATGGAAAAAAAAAAAAGATCCCTCAGACATAGCTATACATATAAATAAAATATGGTGCATAAATATTTAAATGTTTTAAACCACATCACAGTGTGAATGACTGACTGACTACTCTGTGCCTTGAAGGAATATTCTGAGTTGAAAAAATGGAATTGTATATTTGATTAAGTAGAGCCATATGTTGCATAGTATATTGCTGACAGGTACATTCTATGAATAGTTGGTACTGATTTATACATGGATTTGGCAATGTTAACATGAGCCACAGGAGGATATACTTCTGTAATTGTTGCTGTAATTTTCTCGTTTCCTCTCATGTCAGGGGTACTTGCCACCATGTTCTGATGTGGTGGGTATCTAGCCCTGAGTATTCGAGATTAAAAACTTGCACCACTTTGAAATTAGGGAACAGTTAACACACAAGTGGGTTCAAAACAGCTTATTAAATTAATTGTTACCAAGATGTTTTGTATGTGGCTTTACCTCCAGACTGGGAGGGGACATGCACTGCACGGAGAGGGAATGAATTTCCCAGTGATAAACATTGTTTTAATTTGTGCTGTTCACACAAAATATAAAATTAAATAATTTGTGCTGTTCACACAAAATATAAAATAAATGCTGCCAACTAAAAGCATGAATTTAATAAGCAGGAAAGGTTATTTGGATTCTCTGCATATTTTTTACTGGATTAATATCTGAAACAAGTGATGTTGTAGTCAGTGGACAGACAGATGAAGCATGAAACAATTTGGCCCTGCACCTTTAGGTCAAGAGTTCAGAATTAACAGAAGCCTCTGTCGGTGTCTTTGTTTCCTAGATTTGGACTGATAGTTTTTTTGTTTAAGTAATGATGAACATTTTGAAAGTAGATTAAGCCTAAAAAACACTAGGCATACAATTTGCTTTATACTTCTAAGTCACATGCTGAAAAACTGAGAGGATTAGCGCTTTTTAAAAACAATTTCCCCTTTTGACATATTTTACTGTCTAATCTGAAATCCCTGTTAAAATACAAGCAGTAACACGCTAACGCACACCTAAATGCAAATCTGAAGTAATGGTATTGATAATCAAATAACCGGGCAGGGAAAGTCAAGATTGTTATTAATTTAGTTTTATTATTTAATAATAGCATACAGAGTATCAAGTGAGATAGAAAATGCATGTTTCCTGTGAAGGGGGGGGCGGCTTTATTTGGGCATTTCAGCCTTCACAAATTGTTTTATAGCATTACTGCTTTGTGATACCTAGAGAAAACAGCTGAGAAAACAGCTCCCCAGGTATGGTACTAAGTGAGTATTCCTGAGAAAAAACTATTCTTTTGTGGTCTTGCACTGCAAATGTTTTCCTAAACCCCTCAGAAGTTATAAAAGCTCCTGTTTTAAACCATTAGAACTTCTTTTCCTCAAGGTCTGTGTGGTGCTTAACCTTTCTGTTGGCAGTTGCATAAGTTTTCTTAATGAGCTGGGATCAGTCAAAATGACATCTGTGATCACAGTAGTTTCCCCATCTTTCTACCACAAGCACGAAGAACAAAGGAAAAAGGTACAGAAAATTTGCATGTAGCTTCAATTTAAGCTTCTAGCTGATCTTGTCAGGATGCTGCCATGAGAATGAAGTTTAAACAATCAGTAGGAAAATGTTCTTTTCTCTTTGAGGAACTTTGAGGGAGATGAGAAAATACTAAAGACTTTCTGTCCAAAAAAACATTACTAGGTACTAGAGAGAGAGAGTGTGGGGACATGTGTGTTAGTGAGAGAGAGAAGGCTTGCACAGGTCTTCGGTAGCTTGTGAAGCACACAGAAAATAACTTTGTGCATATAAAGAGGCCTAGGCTTTTATGGGTTTTTTTCCAGATCTTTGCTTTGAAATAGCTGTGAGCTGAGATGTGAGCAGAAAGTCCTGAAACAGGGAAAGCCTGGTGACTAGTATTATGTGGGATGTTTTTCCCCTCTCTGAATAGAATTCACAAAATATTTGAATGCCCAATAAAGAAGAAACACTTTCCAGGCCTCCCTGAGAGAGAAGAACAGCTGAAAAATGATCTAAAGAGGGGCAGGAAATTGCCCCCAGGAACTGACCCTAATCTGTATCTGATTCAGGCTGTTGATCTTTTGCTGATTCTTTTGATTTGCTGTTTTAATTCAGAGAGGGAATTTTTTTCCTAATCCACACTTAGGTGTTTTCAGCTTCTAGTCATTATTCAGCCCTTCAGCATCGCTGCCACACAAATGGCCCAGTTCTGTTTGTTTTTATTATGTCTGGTTCCTCTACACTATCTCTTTTATCAATCAAGATTTCCTCACTCTATCCTGTTGCTGTTTTTTTGGTTTTTGTTTGGTCCCTTTCTGCTTACCTTAGAAGCTTCTGTTTTCAGACTTCAACAGTGAATTTGGGAACCAGTTGCCTGTGAAGGGTGTAGGGAGCTGCTGCTCCCCAGGGACCAAGAAGCATGGGTGGTACTCTGTCTAGGAAAAAATCTGCATTTACTGCAAGAGTTGCCTAGAATATTGCCTGTACAGTGCATAGTTGCCATACTGAGCTAAAGCATCCCCAGGCTTCCTTGATGATCCTTCAGTCAGCTGGTATTATCAAGACTTGAGGCATCAACAGCTCTCTCGTAAGCCTGGCAGCATGGAGCAGCTCCTTATTATGCTAGTGTTGGTGTTTCCTTGGTTAAAACTTTGGAACTGTTATGAAATTGAGCTTAAAATATCTCTTTTGCTTAACTGAAGCTTGCTGTTAAAAGCAGTTACCAGTCTAGTAGCAAATCTAGCGTTTAAGACTAATGATTCATGGCAGTCATTCATCGGTACCAGAATGTGTGCAAGACTGTTCATTATCCCTGATGGGGTGATACTCCCCCAGTACAATTTAGAAGTTCTACAAATGCCAAAAAGTCAAGACAAAACAATTGAAGCTTGCTAGATTCCCTTTTCCCTTCAGAAAATGCTAGAACCTACAGTCTGTGTTAACTTAGGTTGACAGTAATAATCAGGTAAAAAGAAGGAAGTTCGTAATCTTCTGGTGCTGTTCTTCCAGTCTGTGCATAATCAGCAAGAAAATGTATTGGAGTAAAAAATTTTCTTAAAGTCCCCTGGGGTTATATCTAGGTTTGACTATAACAACATGCTGAGCCCTATGGATAGTAAATCCTCCCTTTAAAAAAAAAACAAAAAAACCCAAAAAAAACCAACAAAAAAAACAAACATTTTGCAAAGCTGTAACAGGAAAATATATATATTTGTGGTAGACTTATGGGTATGTGGGTATGGCAGCTTGACAGTAAAAAAGCATAGATCCACCACTAGAAAATGCCAAAATAAACTCCGCACTCTGAAGTGGCACTGTAAATGTGAGCCTTTAGCATACCCAGCTCTGCTACTGAATGCGATACAGACATATTGCTCTGTCTTGAGTTTTATTGCTTTGAAAAAGTGAGATTTTGGTTATGCTCACCTGACTCTTGTTTAACAGAAGATACCTGATCTTATGCAGGAGAATTCATGAGATTTGGAGAGAAGCTTTAATCTAAATATTCTCATGCTTAAATATTCCTAGGGTGAATAATTTTTCGCACAAACACTCCCAGCCAACCATTTTGACAGTCAGTCACAAAAAGAATCACAACCTGTACCTTAGGTTCTTCTTAAGTTAATAAACAGTAGTGAGCATGCATTCAAGGATGCTAAATTGGGCATACCTTGCACACTTCACTTTTCAGAAAATCTTTTCCAGGTGTATCACCCAGCAATGTTCTACAAGCAATGCACCAAACTGTTTTTCATGTATAACTAAGCATCCGTGGGGATCTATGAGGAAATATTTTTCTATCTTGTTTGATCTCTGAATTTCTGCAGGCTTCCAGGCACATTGTTATCAAAGAACTAGAGACCCATATGATCATAGACAGAGGAGGTGCTAGCTTCATTATGTCCATTTAAAAGGTCGACTGAGAAAGCAAGGAGAGGAAACAGAATCAGGTCCAAAGACCACAGAGGTCCCGTAAGTTTGAGAAAAAATCATGGGAAGGAAGGATGAGAAAAGAGCAGCTGGGCTGTATTCTAGAGAAAAGGGAACTAACAAACAATAAAGCATTGTCAAAAGTGTGTGCTAGGAAAGATAGGTCAAAAAGAGGTAACAAAAAGCACAAGAAGATAAATTCTTTGTGTTATACCCATTAAATTGCATGAAGACTATCCAAATGTTGCTTTCTTGGAGTAATTGTTATGGTTGCTAGATAGCTGCTTGTAAGTGGAAGGTGCCAGCCCAGTAGTGACTAGGACAGAAATATATGAGAGATGATCTCCAAATCAAATTGTCAGTCGCACTTTGACCTCTCCAGTATAGGGGATTATAGTTCATGCCTTTAGGGGCGGAAGACCTCTAGCTCTGGTAATTTTTATGACTATCATATAGTCTCATTGTGTCAGCAGAGTGACAAGCAGCCAGATGAAAAGCAGAGAGGGATGGAAGGATGCTGCTGCCAGGAGAAAAAGTATTGTAAAATCAAAAATACTTTTAAAACCTGTGATAGTTTTTGATTTTTCCTATTAGACTGTCCAATTGCATGATGCATTTTTAAACTAGTCTCATGGAGCTGTGAAAATACTCTCCCCATGTCTCCTGCTTTTTCTTTAGTTATTTGTTTAAGTGTTGTGGTATCAGGAGAAGAGATAGTCTTCTGTTGCTGACCCACAGCAACATTTCAAAGTAGAAGCAGCAGCTGGGGAAGGGGAAGTGCAGCCTGTTGGCCTGAGAGATCAGTTGTCAAGCATGGAGAAGCCTCTCCATGCCTCTCCGCTGAGCCCATAGTGCCCCGCCTGCCCTGTGTGTCGTGTCATTTCTCACTGAGTTTAATTTCCTTGAAGTCTTCTACATAAGTTAGGAAATCTAGGGTTTATTGTCATTTTAAATCTTTAAGATTTTCATTACAGAAACATAAAGTAAAATATGTTAAGTCTTAGGATATATTTTGTCGACCCAAACACTAGGTTTTGCAGAGAGTAGAGTACTATGAGACCAAAGCTAATGGCAAGAGATCTTGAAGCATTTCTGTCTTGTAACAGTCACAACTAGGCAGACAGCTGCCAAATGTCTTGCAATTAATCTGATGCTTACTGGCTTTCATATCCCTTTCCTTTCAGAACCAATGCCCTGAGGCAGAGGAGTTGGTCTTCAGCCATTTTGTGATCTGTAATGACACACAAGAGACACTGCGGTTTGGCCAGGTGGATACTGATGAAAATATTTTGCTGGCTAGTCTCCACAGTCACCAGTACAGCTGGCGCTCTCACAAGTCCCCACAGGTATGTCAGAAACAGCCGTTCAAATGCAGCAATTGCTAAAGCTGACTGGTGGCTTTGTGCATTGATTCTTCAATTTTCCGTATGGTCTCAACTATCTCTAATGCTCCAGTTCCTTCAGCAGCCGCACGCTGGGGCTGCATCAGAGAGAAAAGGTAAACAAAGAGTGAGGAAAGCCAGAAGTGTTTAGAAGTTACTCGAGGGTAGAACTGGATGTGCACGACCGCTTTCTGTAAAACTGAGCGGTTGTGGAAACTGAAGCTTCTGAAAAAAAGCAAAAGAAGATCACTTGCCAGGTTTTTATAACTAAGTGATCAGTGTCTGTTTTCTGTGATGTACATTAGAGGTTTGGGGAATTTTTTTAATGAATTGTTTTTACCAGAAGCATCTGTTCACTGAAATTGTTTGCAGAACAGGGTCAAACTGGACAAATCTCTCAACTCAGCGTGTACTTCCATTAGAAAAGATTTGAAATTGTCAGAAACACCCCACTTACAGAGTTTAAATAATGCAGTTTCTGTTTCTTGGGTGTTTTTTTTAAGGATAAACATTGAGTGTCCTATAATAGGATGTCTTTTCGCTGACTAGCAGAAAGGGACCATGTTGTTAGTTTTCTTGAGTGGTGGTGAAAAATGGACTTTTCATCTTGATTCAAGATAGGGCAAAAATTTAAGTCTAAAAAAAAGTGTTTATGAGACAACGAAGCCATTTCTTCTCTCTTTTTAATATATACCCAGCTCCTGCTGAGTGGGAGACTAGCGACCTGTGCCACCCCACTTGCTGAGCCGCAGTCCTGTGCTGATGAGTAACTAAAATCTTTACAGATCGTAGGAAAAGTGTAGTGGATAGGGGTCCCTAACTAGGAAAATGCCAGCCATAGCACATCAGAAAGAAGGTGAAGTTTGGATGGTAATTCTAAAGAGGAGCTGTGCCCACTTTCACTGCTGACAAGTTTCAAATTTCACTGGGAAGCAGAGATGGCAAATTTACTGTGGTTTTCATTCATGTCATTTGGCGGATATGCCGTAATATGTCCAGAGCAAATTCGACCAGGGTAAACAGTTGCAGTTGACACTGAAGTCAAGGCATAGGTTAAGAGGAAGGCAGGCTAATAAAGGACTGTCTCACCCCACCAACGGACAAGTTGTTATAAACGGTGTGCGCTGGTGTAATAGCGCGCAGAGGGGGGACCTTTGGAGGCCTAGAAACACGGGAGTACTGTACCTCCCTCATCACATTTTCAATAAGGACATATGTTTTCTCATACAAGAAAAATGCCTGTGATGCCCCAGCCCACATTGTTGGCAAGCAACCCAAATGGGTCACTGTGCTCTGTGTAATTGGGCAAGTGTCAGATAGCGAGACAGGATCCCCACTCATCAGGTGACAGTACTTGCACTTGGGTTATGATTGACATTAACTCTCTCCGGCTGCGTGAGGGAGAAAGAACAACCAGGCTTGTAGAAAGCTAGCTAAATGTGAATCATAGAATCATAGAATGGTTTAGGTTGGAAAGGACCTTGAAGATCATCAAGTTCCAATCCCCCTGCCGTAGATAGGGACACCTCCAACTAGACCAGGTAGCCCAAGGCCACGTCCAGCCTGGCCTTGAACACCTCCAGGGATGGGGCCTCAACAACCTCTCTGGGCAACCTGTGCCAGTGCCTTACCACCCTTAAAGTGAAAAAATTCTTCCTAATGTTTAATCTAAACCTGCCCTCTTCCAGTTTATATCCATTCCCCCTCATCCTGTCACTACATGCCCTAGTAAAAAGTCCTTCCCCAGCTCTCCTGTAGGCCCCCTTTAAGTACTGGAAGGCCGCAATAAGATCTCCCTGGAGCCTTCTCTTCTCCAGGCTGAACAGCCCCAACTCTCTCAGCCTCTCCTCATAGGAGAGGTGCTCCAGTCCTCAGATCATCCTCATGGCTCTCCTCTGGACACGTTCCAGCAGGTCCATGTCTTTCTTATGTTGAGGATTCCAGAGCTGGATGCAGTACTCCAGGTGGGGTATCATGAGAGTGGAGTAGAGGGGCAGAATCACCTCCCTTGACCTGCTGGCCACACTTCTTTTGATGCAGCCCAGGATCCAGTCGGCCTTCTGGGCTGTGATTGCACATTGCTGACTCATGCTGAGCTTCTGGTCAATCAGCACACCCAGGTCCTTCTCCTCAGGGCTGCTCTCCAGCCATTCCCCGCCGAGCCTGTATTTGTGCTTGGGATTGCCCCGACCCAGATGTAGGACCTTGCACTTGGCCTTGTTGAACTGCATGAGGTTGGCTTGGGCCCACCTCTCCAGCCTGTCCAGGTCCCTCTGGATGGCATCCCTCCCCTCCAGCATGTCTAGCTCGCCAAACAGCTTGGTGTCATTGGCAAACTTGCTGAGGGTGCACTCGACCCCACTGTCCATGTCCACAAGAAAGATGTTGAGCAGTACAGGTCCCAGTACCGACCCCTGAGGAATGCCACTCGTCACTGGTCTCCACTTGGACATCGAGCCGTTGACCACAACTCTTTGAGTGCGACCATCCAGCCAGTTCTTTATCCACCGAGTGGTCCATTTGTCGAATCCATGTCTCTTCAATTTAGAGACCAGGATATCTTGTGGGACGGTGTCAAATGCTTTGCACAGGTCCATATTTCATAGTCAATTATCACTTGCTTTTGTAGCAACCACCAAAAAAATCATTTCAACCTTTTCATAAATACATGGAAAAAGAAGGAAATGCTTAAAGCAATTATTAAAAAAAAACAGAACTAGCTTTCCTCTTAACAATCTTTCTTATCCATTTTCTGGTTACTTATATAAAATTATTCAGTTGAGAGAATCCTGTTTTTGACCGTCATTCTAGATGGTTCTGCTAATGGTGTAGTTCTGATTATGGTGTATTTCTAATAATGGTATACTTTCGATGATGGTGCAAACTGGAAAGTGTTTTGAAAATGAGAATTATCTCAAGCAAAGTGAAAAGCAGAAGAGTTAAATTGCAGCTTGTTACTGATACTTTCTGTCAGTTGCAGCCGAGCTGATAAAGACCACCATCACAATATATGGCATTAGCCATGTAACACCTGGAGAACTTAAATAATAAAACACTGGTTATTAGCTTGTCCTTTCAGTCACAGACTTGGGCTGTGCAAAATATTGCATTTTTGTGGCCGCTATGGAAGTTTCTTATTAAATGAAAAAGAAGAATGCAGGATGAAAGGTGAAAAACTCCAGCAGAAAATCAAGCTACACATTAGGAAGTGGATGAGCTGACAGTAGGAACTTCAGATTCATTTTTCAGATATTCATTCTTCAGCTGAAAGTTGGTGATGTCAAAGGGTTTCCCCATTCTGTTTTGCTCTGATCAGATTCAGATTCACTGAAGAATTGGGCTGATAAACAGTCAGGAGTGTCATGTTGGATTCCCATGTCCCAGGAGACGGCAAAGCTAACAGCTCATTTCTCCTGACTCAACCACGTTGCTGGCCAGCAGGCTCCTTTAGTAAGGGGGTTATACCTCCCTTGTCCCAGCCCTTGGAATAATTTCAAGAATATTTCTGCTCTTTTAACGTTTTTCAACAGCCATCTCTTGCTGGGAAATTTAGAGACTAAAAAATAGACTGAGGTAATTTTGCTGAAAACATATGGAAGCACGGGCTTTCCACACACTGTTGAGATACAAGCAAATTATCTTTACAAAGGTCGGAGAATCCTGGCATCCATCTGTAAGCCTTGTTCATTTGGTTAATGTTAAATACAAATCACTAAGTTTAGCATGCTTCACAAAGGCAGTTCATCTAAACAGTCTAAACAGCACAATCCTTTGCCATTTTAGATCATACAAAATACGTTTGTTTAAAAATTATTACAAATGTTGCTGTGTAAATCTTTTCAGTGATTAATACAAATCCTTGAAATGAAAACGACGACTCAATTAAGACATCAGGTTGTCCCTATTATGCTATGGCACTTTTCTAATTGTTTCCATGCAAAACTATCTAACAGCTTATTATCCAAAGGTCAGAATAATGCCCAAGCATGGACAAACCCTCCAAGTGTCATATTCATGGAATGCGAGATGACTTCATAGTTATGAAATTATTTCATTTCTCATGATAATTCCCAACTTGCCAAGTTAGTGAATTTTAAGAACTCTGAGAGCAGATTGTAAGATAAATGTGAAATAATCCATACTTCTGGAGTCAGGGACTTCCCTCCAGGCATTAGTTCATACTTGACTTACTTGACTTACTCTTGGGGATAAAATGAGTTAGGACAAGGTCTTAGATACCACATTCTCTTACTGGGAAAGAAAACCAACTTGCACAACTTTGGCTGGCTCATGTTTCTTGTTACACAGGCACTAAGAAGCAGCGGTTGCCATGAAATACTTTATTTAACCTCTGCAAAATGTTTTTTTAGTATGGCAAGGCAGTTCAGTTAAATGAAAATAAATAGTTTCAAAAGGATTGTATTTCTTTCACATTCACATCAATAACATTCTCCATTTTTCTTTTGCTAATTAAGCATAGTGAGAGATGCAGTAATTGCCCATTTGAATTATTTAACACAATCAAATATATATATACGTAAAATAAGTTATATTTGTAGTAGCAGATAGTTATATAATGCTTACTTACATTTAGAATTAATATTAATGAAGCTACTATAGGCTATAATTAAAAATTGTTCAACTGTTTCATGTTATGAAAGCAGCTATAGCACACCAAGGATGGATTTATCAGTTCTTGATGGTGCCCCTCCAAATGTTTGGCTTAACTTAAAGATCCTTCCGTCCTTCATTTTTCCCAGCCCAGATCTTCTACATTTCAGGGAACCTAACCTTTCCTTTTTAACTTTCACTCTGATTTTTCCAAGTCTTGCTAGTTTGGCTAATATTTCAGTAATAAGTCTGAGGGCCGATGCTCACTTTTCTACTCCGTTCCGTCCCCCGTGTTTTCCTCAGATTTCATGAGGTTTTGACCTTCCTTAGGGATAAGACACCCCCAACTATAT